CGCAACCGCGATGTATGGTTGCTTATTACACCATAGACTCCATGGCTGTTGGTATGTTAGTTTGCGCTGCGCAAAACCAACGGTATCTTCAAAACCTTTTATGAGTTCAAGTTAAATAAGCATAGAGACTGAGTTGACTGGATACCTCTGCAGCCTGGGAAAAAAATCCGAGGTCGATGACTGCACTCGAAATGAAAATGGCTGATGACGACGGCACGCTGGCAATATTCAGAGCTTTTAGGGATAAGGCAGCAAATCCTGGTGACATTTTCAGCTTGCTCTGTAAGCTTTGAAGAGCGGGGAAAACTCTGCTATCACTCCATCAGTTAAATCGTCTGTCACAGAGTAGAATTGAGCGGTTGTTTATGGTTTGCGTCTCGACGCGTATCCAAGCTGCACTCCAGCCGAATGGATGTCGCCGTGTTATAAGCCCACAGTATTAATAAATGATGTTCAATTTGTAGAATTAAGCCGATCTATGTAAGCGAAGATCAGTTGTTTACGCTACACACAGCTGCTGTTCTTAAGTCTAGAAAGGATACCTACGGAGTCTCATGAAGGGCAAACTCTTTGGCGGGTTGCGTTTGGTTTCTTTTCAGATGCTCTTTACTATAATAATGCTGCTTGCGGTTTGCTAATACTTTGATTCTTCCGGCATTTTTGTAAGGATGATGTGACCTTACCTCCTCGCAGCAAACACTGACCACGCCTACATGATCTTGTTTCATTTACAGGTCATGTGCATGATCACATACGCGGACTCTTCTCCGATAATCTACACCACGTTTTCGCCGAGTCAGGTTTCCTGGTGCCTTGATTAATTTCCGAGTACGCAATTTTTTTTATTACGCCAATCTCACACCCCGTACCGAGGTTTATCAGACTCTCACGCCAAACTGATTTAATAGCCTACAAACTCGTCACAGTATAAACAGCACACTGATTCAGTGCAGCCGGACAATTATGCCGATCTGGGGAAAAAAATGGAGAGCACTTCCTATATTCTATTATAGCTAAATAAATTGCGGGTTTTTTTTTTTATTTCAGTGACGGTATATTGAAGAATTCACTAAGTAGAATTATTGCTGATGAAAATAAATGCAGATTTCTTGCTTATCTGTTGTTTCTGTTTTGTGGTGAGAACATTCTTCAAAGAAACACAGACTGTTTTATCGAGAGTGTGAACCGGTACATCGTAATCAGGAATAAGTCGCTGAAGCCGTTTTACGTGAAGACCTAGTAAAGAGGGGTGTGTATGAAAAAATCGATGTGGCGGTTCCTGTATATTTTGGAAGTGCATGCATTAAAGGTTACCATCAACACATTTGTAATATGTACCATTTGAAAGCTTATGAAATTCTCTTTCAGACCATGTACATATCTCAAAAAGTCAGTTTGAGACTTATTCCTGATTTCGATGTGCTGCCGGTCACATATTTCCTCACTTTTTAAGGTTAATCAACGACTGTATTCTCTAGGGAGCCGTCGCAAGACATGGTGGGTCCAAGTAGCGTTCTGTTGGCTTCAGTTTATATGTCAACACTGTGCTGAGCGGAGCAAGGAAAAATTTACTGTTCTAATTATTTTGAGAGAAAATAGGGGAAATACTGTCTGGAATATGGGTCATCGTGATATGGCCACTAATGACATTTATAATTTGACCGCGTCCAGCTAGCTCGCTGCATCGGGGCTACTTTCCTATTTTTGGTGCTATTTCTAGTCCAATAATTGGCCAAATACAATTGGCCAAACGAATACAACCCGATACAGTTGATTAATTTTTCCCCTCAAATTGCTTCAACGTTCCTAACTTTTTGCTCCGGCATTGGCCTCGATTTCTGTTTAAAATCAGGCCGTCGACGGACAGGTGCGCATTTTGTTATTACTGAGGCGTTGCTATGGCGACGATGAAGTCATGCACAGTGTCATCTTATCAAGTTCCAAGGAAAGCAAGCATTATTATGATACGTTCGCTTTGTCGATGGATCGGGGACTATGTCCTCTCTGTTTCCCTCGAGATTTCTAACAGGCTGCAGTATAATGCGGATTTTCCACTCATCTTAAAGGCAACAAAACATTGCTGAATACATTACCTCCCTAAGCTACCAAAGTTCTATAGAAAAAAATAGCCCCTCAGAAAACACAAATATTTCGGGTTGTCAAAATTTTTCAGAGATTTGTGTGAATTTCGGGGAAAGAAGAGTTATATTATTAGCCATAGAGGGCGAGCTGATAGAGGGCGCTGATTCAGCTATTACCGCGTGAAACAGTACTAGTGACCCCAGGAGCTGAGGCGTGTCTCGGTAAAAGGTAGCCGGTATCAAACCTTCCGTGAAGAAGGACCAACGGCGGACATATGATGCAAGATATGGGGCGAAGAGACCCTCATCCCCTCCGCCTTTGTGTTGGTCATTGTTTGGACGGAATCTCAGAAGTTCTTTACAGACTTCTGGGGAGATGTGTTAGGTAACAATAGTCTGGAGTGTGTATTGGGATTGGACGTGGGGGGGGGATACCCATCGGCTCCATATCGTGCGCGGTATCACAGCGGAGACGCTGCTGGTACGTGAAGCCAAGGAAGTTACAGGACAAGATGGGACCCTCAGTTGTACTTTAAGTGTAACAATTACCGATTTCTGGACCATGCTTAAATAAGCGCCTGTCTCACTGAAAGTATCATTTGGAAACACCAACTGCTGGAAGTTCATTTTTCGAGAAAACGGAAAGCTTTCCGCCTGTAAGATAGTTATCTCTCGAGATATAATATTTAAGAAACTAAATGAGCAATACTATGCTTCATAAGTTTTACCGAGGCTCATCTGATTTTTTTTTTTGGCAGATGATATCAGTGGATGAAATCCATCATTATTGTGCCTGACCGAGACGGCAAGCATATCGACGTGGGAACGTTAGTTCCAATTTTTAAGGTATCACTTTGTCCATACGGTGATGTAGTTGTCTTCATTTTTTTTTCCTTTCGGTACTTTTTTTGGAATAAATAATATTCCTATACAAAGACTGGGAAGAGATATTGAGTTTTAATCAGTTTAGCCACATCTAAACAGTCCTCGATAAGTAACTTTGAAACCGCCATCTTTATTCACTACATGGAGCATTTTCGACGAAATCCGTTTTACTAAGACTAACTCTTCAAAAAATGTGCGGCATGGCAAATTTCTTGACTTACAGAAGAAGGAATAATGAAACAATCGAGTCGGTTCGGTATTTCAAAAAAGCAAAGGTCACTAGGGACAAATCACGCGTAATGCCACGCTGGTAAGGCTGACCTCGCACGCGCGTTCGCATGACCTTGGACGCGCTTCATTTTGGGCGTGCTCTGTTGCAACACCGAACTGGCATTAATATCGCCCAACTGTTCAATATCTTGAAATACACTGTGGCAAATGTCCTTGAAACGTGATCACCAAAAGTGATCACGTTTCCTGTTGAAATCAAACCACTTTCCAAGTGCACTGTATGTACTTCGACCTTCTTCAAATGAATTCAAACTCTCCAACAGTGTAATCAAGCGCTATGCTCTCTGAATGAAGCAATAATTTAGTGGTGAATAACCTGCAGTAAGATAATGAAGCGTACCGGTAGTCTATTGCGTTGACGTAAGGGTCTTTGATTTAAAGACGGGCGACTGTCGGCCAAGTCCACTGATATTGCACGCAAATGGCAATATTCTGCCTGTTTTACATGTTGGCCTATAACTACACGCTGGACAACAATACCGTTGATAGAAAGACAATAAGGATAGCATTCATTAAAAGTATTAGTGAATTATAGAACAGCGTTTTTGTTTTCAAGAAAGACAGTTTTTTTCAACTTGAAAACATAAAATGAAACGCTTTACGAGAAGCCAATCCTTGGATATCCCTCTGAGGGTGTTGAATTAACGTGTTTTTTTCGAGACTGGTGTCCACTGGCTAAGTAAAAAAAAACATACAGGGGTCTTAACCCTGTTGTTTTGAAATGAGAACAGCAGGTGACGTTTGGGGACAAACGAAGTCACGGATGATCACATTTATATAAGTTATCTTCTCCCCCCCCCCATTTTAAGTGGGAAAATCGAGGCTGTCCGACAGGAGGGCCCACTAAGTACAGTGCTCCTTTTTGTTCATCAAATAGAATTGATTTTCACTAATCTAATGACCGTCCCCTGTGCGGCCCAAACAGTTTTCAAATTCTCCATATTGGTTGGCGCAGTCTTGTGCAAATCTGAAGCGCGGAATCCACACCTGTAACAAATTATCATCAACACGTGCGGCGCACCGTTACCGCTAGGTTTGCACGCAGGGGGCGATCACTAGTTTCAAAATTGGTATCTAAAGGATATTGACGATCACGCGGGAATTGACGGCGAGACCGCGAGCCAGACGACATGCACGGAAGTCGTGACGGGTGAAACCCGATTCGTAGTGCTCAGATTCCCGCCGAGGCGTGGTTGCCTCGGAGACGAGATGGAAACTGCACTTTCTTGCGCGCCAATCGTTCCTGTTTTAAGTCTCGCCAGTGGGGGTCTTTAGCCTACATCGTCTGCTAGACGGAGATCGTGCATAAACCTATCGGACTATGGGATTTGACCTGGCAGCTGTACGTTGAAAAAAAAAGCTGGCGGTGTTGTCAACAACTTGTGCGATTCTCCAATAGTGCGACTTTCGTGCCAAACGAGACATTTTACATTTTTCACTACGACTACTGGCGCGGCTGAATTTCTTCTGTTAATTAAGAGCTACGAGCGAAGGGGGGGGATAATTTTTCCGGTTCAGAAATGTGGTCTGGTTTCTAGTCTCTTCTTTTCAATCCAGAATGCAAAACAAGTCCTAACTAACTCTTGCGAATAAATAATCGAATCAGTTTGTACACAAAACCACAGCATCTTAAACTGTAAGCCTTAGAAGGTGAAAAGATGTACATGTAACACAAATAGTTATTAAATAAAAACGTTCACAGACTGGCAGTTCAAAATCCATAAGCTTAAAACACTCCTTTTTGAAATGTCCATTTATTCACCATCAACTGGAGTGAAAAGGTACTTTTCAACAGCTTTCATATTGATTTTAATCAATAATGACAAGGCAAATCATTTTCTGTGGAATACGAAGTAGGCCTACACAACAGCATTGCTCCACAGCTTAAAAGCTGAAAAGCCCATCAACAATCATCTCCGAAATCATACCACCATATCTCTAGAGAAATTTCCCCGGGCAAGGACTGGTAATTTACCGAGTAAATATCTGGAAGTCTGTGATTATAGGCGCTAACAGACGGGCTGGTCTCTCAGCCGGATGGACCGCTGCGAGGCGCGGCCATTGAACCCAAGCGCTTGAAAATTTCCGTGGTCGAACAGTCCCTTCAAATTAATCTCCGCGGAAGTAGCGGAAGTTCACGGACCCTTTCGATTCCTACTTGATGAAGCGAACTCAAAATCTTTAATACATTATTGGGGCAGATCAGCGTTCTGAAACAAAGCGCGCCCTCAATGTGCTTGTGCACGAGCACAGATTGCACATGTAATATATTTATTTCACTTGTCGCCCAGCTGGGAGGGGCTGATGGCTATGCACTGTGATTGGCTACATTGTGCACGACCTGCGATCACGAGGTTATCACTTCCTGTTAGCGAAGCGTTATTTCAAATTTTTGTTTCGCCGATGGCATTGCTTTGGGATGGGCAAAGTGCCGGCTATATGATAAAAACATGGCCTTGGTACAGTCACAGTGTTGTAATTTATCTTCTCAATAAGTATAATTGATCACGTGTCTTTGGGCGATATATCTTAAATCATAAGTTATCTTGATCAATTTTGGATGAAAGAGTGTAGTGAGAAGATTTTTCAGCATTGAGGAAGAAAAAAGAAAAAATCATTAAAATTGACAACCACTGCTCGTGTCATTGAGCGAGGTCGCGCGTGCGCATGGTGGAAATTTTCCCACAATGCCTGTACATCGTTAGCTGTGACCCTGTGTGACGTATTTCCTTCACTAAATTCGTGCAAGCCCTTCCCAGTGCCCGTTTCGGGCGCTGGGCGTCGAGCGAAGTAGTATTTTCCCGCGCCTGGGGGCGCGCTCACGTTTTAAATCCTTATCGTTATCAGACGTGCGTACAATTATTCATGTCCACTACCTGGTGCCCTGATTTCGAATCTCCTATACATTAATTCTACATTTGTACCAATTTTCATGAAATAGGAATGTGAATATTAGGTAAGAGATTGTCAGTTGCAAGTTTTGATTTGTTGATAGCAAGACAGACAACTGACAGTGACATATGGAAGTTCATCGACAAGCCGCAAGCCCCAAATTCCCATTTCGGAAAATTAAACTCCACCAGCTGCTAGGAAATATTCTCCGTGGCTAAAGTGCATCCTTCGAATTCTTAGTGTAGAGGAAGAAGGAAAGTATACAGAAGCTCGTCAGCACCATTGATCCACTGAACGTGAAAAATGTTGCTTGAAAGTTCCTTGTTGCGTCGTACAGCAAGCCTGCAAACAGTGAGACATAAATTAATTGTGCATGCTTGTCCTTCGTGCATTGCTTTTGGTTTATTTACGATTCAAGGTATTTCTGGTCAAGAGATGGCGCTTTTCCTCCTAGAGGCACGCCCAGAGCTAGAGTTCTGATTTTGGTCCCAATGCCAGGCCGCTCGTACGCGTAACTTCAATTTGTATTTTTAGACGCAATCAATCCATCATTCTGGAAACAACATGGCGCCATACACTGACCTAATGTCGCATCCCTCCCAAATTTGCTTAAGGGGGGTAATTGCAGTCACAAGTCTGTATCTCTATGACTTGATCGCCGCACTTCTCTGGGAATGCGCCAGAAATCATTTGAACAAAAAGCGTTCTAATGAACAGAAATGGTGTCAACATCCCCGGATAAAACTGGTGTACGTTTACAACGCAAGCCTGCTGTGGCTTACTTCGCAGCAGATTAGCAGTGGTTTCCTCACTGAATTCCTGGCAAACTGAAGTACATGTAGGTGTTTTGCTGACAAAAGCAATATCACAGAAAATTTTTTTCAATAAATTGTAAAAGATCAAGATAAGGATTACTAGTAGGCGTGTTATCCTACCTGAGACAAGCCCCGCCACTGGATAAGACAGGCCCGTGATGAAGTTCTGCCAGCTGTAGAGGAACACCACTTGGTCGTCAGCAGTCAGGTACCGGGTCATGATCAAGGGGACTAGGAACAGACTCTCCATGCAGGCCCCTATCAGTGCCGTGACGGCCAGTTGGCCTAGGAACGACGATAGGAACGGATCCAAGGCGTAGCACACGATAGCTAGACTTGCCCCAGTCCCCATCACAGCCCAGACCGAGACGACGCGGTAGTGCATCACCAGGGCTGTCAGATACAGCCCCAGGAAGTTGCCCACGCCCCAGGCCGTGGTGTTCAAGGCCGCCTGCTGCTCGTTCAACCCCAACAACAGCGCGTTCGGGACCATGTAGATGACAATTCCGCTAAAGCCGTACCCGCTGAACAGCTTGATGGCCGTCAGGAACAGGAAACGAATGTCCTTGAAGACCCCCAGTCCCAGGGTCGAGACCACCTGGCTGCAGCAAAGGTCGCTGTCCTTGCTCCCCCGTTCGAAATCGTCCAGGCTGGGGGGCTGGACGCCGGTCGTGACGCGCCGGTAGTGGAACCCGCCAGGGGGCTCCGCCACGGGCCAGCCGACCAGGAAGCCGCAGGCCGTGAGGTGGAGGTTGAAGGCGGCCAGGATCATCATGGTTCCCCGCCAGCCGTACACGTCCATCAGGAGCTGCGTGGTGGGCCCGTAGACCATCATGCCGAAGGGTGCCCCGCACTTTGCCACAAAGCTGGCCAGGGCGTACCGCTTGTGAAAGTGCAAAGCCATCTGCGAGAACGTGGTGTCCTTGACGCATGCTGCCCCAGTACCTGTGGACCGAAAGTACAGGGTTTAGCCAAATCCACGAGTTTCAAAGTATAGTGAGATCACTTCAGCACCTCCCAAACAACTGCTGTTTAAATTTGTATGGGGAAACCACTTCAAAATCCAACTGTATCTGTTGTTCAGTCTCACAACTTAAAGGGAACTGGCCACTGCCACTGCCATAGACTCGTGCGCAATTCCCACCGGTAGCCAAGTGATTCGGACACGGCCTTAACGTCCCCTGTCCCTGTTATATAGAGACCAGTAGCTAGTTGCGATTTAACGTGTACGATTTGCCTTTTAATTTGAAAGCTGAATATTTAAGTTTCTGTCAGGCCAATGGAAATGCTTTGACACGAATTAGGCTACGTTTCCAGCGGGCGGGCGAATAAAATACAAGTTCTCATCCTTGCTTAGGTTTAAACCTCTGTTAATCACAGTGTAATAAGTTACTTTTCAATTATTATCATCAATAAATCATTTTACAGCATTTTCTTTCAAATCAGTGGTTGTTATCTTAAATTTAAGATAAAAGAACAATTCATGCTGAAGTTATTTTTGACATTAAATTAAGAAGAAAGCTACTGCTTGATTTGTAAATTCAGAGGTCATAGTTTCACCATTTACATACACTCGGCAGGATTCTGCCGGGTCTATAACCCGCTACCGGTCCCTACGTTTGGAGGAAGTCTTGTATGACGTTTTGAGACTACGTACGGCAGGGTAACAGTCTATTCCACGTACTGTTACCTGCGACAACCACCATGGCCACAGCCAACACGAGCACACTTCCACTCTGGGACGCCAAGAGAAATCCTAGACAGGTGAGCAGGCCGCCAACAACGACCACCGGCCGCACGCCAATTTGGTTCGAAATGGCCACTGGTACAGGAGCTGCGAAAAAAGAGGGAGAACAATTATGGAGCATCGAAACTATCTGGGTCCAATTTCATAGAGCTGTCTAAGCACAGAATTTGCTTAAGCACGAAAAAACCTTGCTTAATAAACAAAGAATACCAGCTCAAACTCGGTGTGATTGCCAAAAGACAGGTAAATACGATTCCATACATCACAAGAAGTTTTGGTTGGTAACCTGATTTGTCAAGCAAAGTTTTTTTTTTAAGCTTAAACAAACTATTCGCTTTTAAGCAGCACTATGAAATTGGCCCCTGTTGTATCGAGAATAATTATTAAGACGTAGGCCTACATTATTAGATCTTCAACATTTGCGGTTTGTGGTCTGACGTCCACTCCTCTCCCTCGTGAGAGGAGGAGCGGACGTCGGACCCCACACTTCTCAGCTCGGGGTAGGTGTATAGGTCGCTGATTCGACCGACCACGTCGACCAAAGCTCCTTTTTTGGCCTGACAGCAGGAAATAAGTGGGTGAGTGCTAACTATTAACTTATGTTGAGCAACCAATCCAATAACTGGTTACCCAGACGCCAAACTTTTGCACCACATTTCATGACTTTTTGAGCCCTCACATTACACAACCAATTCTGCAGTAGTGATGTATTCCCTGCCATCTGGAAACCTTCATTTACCATGGCTCAGGACAGCATTCCTGCTGCTTCCGATATGACAAATAAAGAAGATAAGCCACACACAGATAGGGGCCCTCTCCCTTAAAATTCTCCCCTTTTGGCTGGCTGATCCCTTGATCTGGTTTGCCCAAGCTGAGGCCCAGTTGCACACTAGGGGTATTCACCGCGATGACACAGAATTTGCTCACATCATCACTTCCGTCCAGCCTGAAATCATCCAGGAAGTGTGTGACTCGGTTATCAGCCCAACTGCGGAGAACCCCTATCAAAAGCTTAAGAAAGAGATGATTCGGCGCACTTCAGCCTCCGAGCAAAAGCGCCTCCAGATGCTCACTGAGGAGGAGCCTAGTGACAAGCAATCCTCCAAGCTGCGGCACCATATGCGCCAACTCCTTGGTGAACGTCAACTCAAAGAGGGGACTTTCAAACAGCTGTTCCGCCAACGCTTTCTGGCCAATGCTCAATTTGTTCTCGCCTCCTCATGCGACACAGTCCCCCTTGAACAGTTAGCCACTCTCTAACGATGTAGCTCCAACCAGCCCACCTCCATCTAGTGATCTCGGCAAGCTTCGTGACCAAATCGCACAACTCACCACACAAGTCAATTCCGTGCAGGCCCAACTCAAAACGCCAGTCGTGTGCCTGCAGCCACAGCCGTAGTCTTCCACGCAAATTCAGCAAGGAGCGTGCACCGACCCCTCCTGCTGTCGTTGCCTCTCAAACCAAGTGTTGGTATCACCGCCGCTATGGAGTGGAGGCCATCAAGTGTGTCCCGCCATGCTCCCATGCCACTCACCAGGGAAACGAGCTCACCAGGGGATAGGCGCGGCACTTCCTCCTGGTACCAAACCTGGCCGCCTGTTCTTCATCTATAGTTCCTCACCATAAACAGAAGTTCCGAGTAGACACGGGGGCGGCTGTCAGCATTTTCCCTTCCTGTGCAGTCGGAAGGAAACACCCGCCGTCCTTCACCCTGCAGACTGCCAACGGTACCAGCATACTCACTTGTGCTCAAATATCTGTGACATTCAACATTCGCCTCAGACGTAGGCTACTTGCCACTGGATTTTCTTTCTGGCGGATACACCTACATCGATATTGGGTTTTCTACATCACTACAATCTCCTTGTGGATGTTTCCTGATGCAGGCTTATCGACACCACTACCAGCCTTTCAGTCTCAGGAACTGCAGCTCCAGACATGCCTGTCAGTATGGTCTTATTTAAGCCCACCGGTGAGTCACCCTACGACTAAATTCTCCAAGACTTTCCGCAACTCACTCAAGCACACCACAAATGCACCTGTCCGACACGATATTACCCATTACATCGTTACGACAGGTCCACTACGTGACAGCCAGACCTCGACGACTTGCCACAGACCGCCTTGCCATTGCAAAAGACAAGTTCAATCACATGTTGGATTTGGGCATCACTCGACCATCTGACGGCAATTGGTTCGGTCCTCATCAAAGGCCTGCTGGTCCCCAAGAAGACCCCAGTTGACTGGCGACCGTGTGGGGACTACAGAGCCCCCAATCTCGTCACAGTTCCTGATCGCTACCCCACCACCCACTTGCAGGACTTTGCATCTTGTCTGGCTGGTCGCTCAGTTTTCAGCAAGATTGACTGAGTTCGTGCATACCACCAGATTTCAGTCGATCCGGCTGACATTCACAAGACCACCACTGTCACACCTTTCGGCCTGTATGAGTTTGTCCGCATGCCATTTGGTTTGCACAATGCGGCTCAGACTTTTCAACGCTTCATGGACATGGTCGTCCGTGGTCTCCCATTCGTGTATGTGTACATGGAAGACATTCTAGTCGCCAGCAAATCATTCAAAGAGCATGAGCAACATCTTCGTCTCCTCTTCGACAGGTTGCAGCTCTATGGCCTTGTGATAAACCCAGGCAAGTGCATCTTTGGAGTACCCGGGCTTCAATTCTTGGGACACCATGTTGATCAACATGGCATCCTCCCTCTCGCTGATAAGGTCTCAGCAATGAACAGTTTTGCTCAACAGACTTCAGCCTAGAGATTGCGCAGTTTCATCGGGCTGGTCAACTTCTACAGGAGATTTATCCCTCACTATGCTCGCATCCTCGCCACGTTGAATGGCGTTCTTGCAGCTCACAACAGCACACCTCGCAAGCCTCTTGATTGGAAACCCGTTCACCAGCAGGCCTTTGATGACATCAAGCATGCTCTGTCCAGCCCTATACTCCTTGTTTCCAACATATACTTACCGTTAAGCCTTGTCGTTGATGCTTCTGACACAGCAGTCGGTGGAGTACTCCAGCAGGGCAACCCAGAGGAGTTTCATCCCATAGCCTTCTTCTCCAGAAGCTCACAGCAGCCGAGTCCCGATACAGTACCTTCGGCCGCAAACTGCTTGCAGTGTACCTGGCCATTCGGCACTTCCGACACATGCTTGAATTAAGGACGCCGTTTCTGTATCTTCACAGACCACAAGCTACCAACTCGTGCTTTGCATTCAAAACCAGACAGACATTCTCCTCGTGAGATCCGCCATTTAGACTTCATCTCCCAGTACACATCAGACATCCATCACATTGCCTGTACTGACAGTGTTGTTGTAGATGCACTGTCCCGCCTTGACGTTGGTGCCATATTCGAGGACAGGATTGACTTCGCACAGATTGCTGCTGACCAGGTTGGGGACAACGAAGTTGCAGGTTTTCCCCTTCCCACAACCGAGGGCACCATGCTTTGCAGCGTCTCAACAGACAATCCACGTCCAGTCATACCTGTCAGACATAGACACACTGTTTTCAATGTCTTAGATGGGCTCTCTCACCCGGGCACCAGAGCCGCGGAGAAACTCGTTACAGCTTGCTGTGTGTGGCCAGGTGTCAAACACGATACCCACCTTTGGGCTCGCACGTGTTCTTCAAGCTAGCGCTCAAAAGTGCACCGTCATACCAAAGCTCAACTTGGCACCTTCCCAACACCAGACGTTCATTTCCAACATGTCCACAATGATCGACGTCGTTGGGCCACTCCCCACATCGAATGGCCATTCCTACCTTCTCACTTGCATCGATCGCTACACACATTGGCCTGAGGCAATTCCCATAAGTGACATCTCGGCAGAAACTGTTGCCAAGGCCTTTGTCGACAGATCGGTCTCCGTTTTCGGAGCTCCAGCCACTATCACCACTGACAGAGGACGTCAGTTCTAGTCTGTGCTGTTCACCAACATCACCAAACTTCCTGGCACTACTTGCATACGAACGGCATCTTATCATCCACAGTGCAATGGCACCGTTGAGCGTTTCCATAGATAGCTCAAAGCATAACTAAAGTCCCACCTTGACACCTTTCGATGGACAGAATACCTCCCCATCACTCTTCTGTGTAATCGCGCCACCGTCAAATCTGACATGGGATGCTCTCCAGCCGAGCTGGTTTTCGGCACTACCTCTCCCAGGTCAGTGTGTCGCTTTATCCCCCGACACCTGTCTCTTTTATCTTAGGTCATTCGCTGACCGCCTCCAGGATCACGTCGCAACTTTCACCAGCTTCGACGCGAGTCATGTCCACTGCTGCCCACTTGCCAAAAGACCTTCACACATGCACTCATTGATGTTCGCTATGGTGCTGTCCGCAAACCTCTTCAACCACCATACAACGGACCCTTCCAGTCTCCGTCCTCAGCCGCACCGACAAGTTCTTCACCTTGTCCACCGCCAAAAAGCGCGAACAGGTCAGCCGTGACCACCTCAAGGTGGCGTACCAAGATGACAAATCCGACGGGAGCGGCCACCTCCAGTTTCTCCAATGCCCCGGCAACCCGCAATCCTCCCTCCACCTGCAAAGATGGCCACATCCACACCGTCACCTGCACCACGACCTCGTCCAACACCTTCTGCAGCACCTTCATCCTGTCGCCAAGACAACCCGCTCTGTTCGTCATGTTTCCTTTCCAAAACGCTATGTGGGGTTCATAGTTCATCGACCATTGCTGGTTCATCCTTTTTTATGTCCTCACCATCTCGGAGGTGGCTAATGTAGTGACCCTTGATCTATAAAGGTCACACCAACAAACGAACATTTATGCATATAACTTTCCGTCTTCGTTTTCGCGCGTGTATTATCCCTGAAAATTTCCCACGTCTTCAAACTAATTTTTGTCAGCTTCGCTCACTACTTATTTTGTTAACTGTTTGAGGAGAATACTGTTCTTCACATCGTCTGTTTTATCAACCGTGCAGTGATGGTAATTAAATGACTGACTCTAAAAAAAGAAAGACTTTCTGTCGTTTAACGTTCGAGCGCCAGTCCACATACGGGCCGGGCAACTCGTCCCCCGACATAACAGTGACTGACATAGTCGCCCTGTGGAAGGGGGTGTATAGGTCACCGATTTGACCGACTACGTCGAGCAAAGCTCCTTTTTTGCCCCGACTGCAGGAAATATGTGAGTGAGTGCTAATTATTAACTAATGTTGAGCAACCAATCCAACAGACCGATAAGTCACGTAACCTAAGTACATGTAAGAGGGTATCAAACATCAACTAACATGGCGTCCTCTCATAAGGAAGTGTGTCATGTCATTTACTACTAAATAAAGCCGATGGTCGGTAAAGGACTCAGACTACTGATGTTAATTCTGAATACCAGACCTTCGTACGATGGGCCCACAACTCTGCAAGTTTCCATACAGTTGCCTTGTAGATAGGCTATTTGCTAGATGTTGATTTCTAAGGCCCACCAGCCAATGACTTAGGTCACTATTAATGTTGATTTTTCCCTGCAGTAGGGCTTGTTGGGTCGACAAATTTCACTCATCGTGATTGACCAACGCCTTGCAAACTCTTGGAAGCGCACTATTGTGAAACACCTGTACTATTTCAAATGGATAAATGTCTTTTTAGGCTATTAAGCCAGGCACTCCGTGTATGACGTCACAAGGCAAAACTCATGCTGCATCGAAATCAAATCTGCAAACAAGTGGGTGCTGTGGCACACGTGCACGTGTGTAGTATTCTTAGCCTGGTGGTGGTCGTTTTAATCCGTATATTCGCGACTTTGTGTATCATCAAGACAACACGTAAGAAATTAGTCTCTCATGCGGCTGGCACACCTACAGTACATGATAATAAGTTAGTACAGTATATTTTGCTTTATACTTTACAGGAATAAAATTCATAGGTCTATAGTCCTTGAGATGCATGGAGAAAGGAAAAGACTGTGTTGAGACTAATCCTAGGAGTAGGACTAGGATCAACTCTAGGCATGCCTACAGTACATGTGCATGGTCCATTTCTGTGAAAATCATTGACATGAGTAACTTTACGGTAGGCCTATATGCCCACTTAGATTTTGCACACATCTTGCAAGTGTTTATCTCTCCCAAGCAAGTCGTTGGGTGTGATAACGGTGCTCACGTGCAGCTGCAATACTAGGCCAGTCCATATGATATAAGCCCAACAAGGTCAAAAATAATTTTTTCTGAGTGCTAGCCCAACTTCACTTTGGCATGCTGTGCATATTTGAATGGTTGAAATGATAATTGATGTGATTGCCTCAGGATAATGTAGATAAGTCAATAATAGTCTGAGCAACTTGGACTCTACGAATTGCCTTTTAAAGATTTGGATATGGTCCGGCAAAACATGGCAATAATGTACACACACTGTGTACTCATCAGTATGAAGTCGCCAACTTGGTCTGGAATCAACTCGCTCTGAGTCGACTCTATCTCAAGTCAACTTGGTCCCAAGTCAACTCGGTTGATCTCGTCAACTCTGGAAGGCAGGTATATGGCTGCAGCATGAATACAAATTTTCCAAGCTAGTTTCAACACACTTTAGTATAACTGTATTAAAGTACACATATTTCCAGAATTCTAAAATTGCATGTACTGTTCATGTAAATTTACTGACATGTGCATGAGATGCCTGGCTTTGTAAATTGGGAAGGCCAGGCACTTGGATGCATCGTTAATTATAAGCCAAATCCCAGTGTTTCTTGCTAGACTATCAAACTATGGCATATAAGCTTTCCAGAATTCTAACATTGTATGTAGGCTATATTTACACATATACTGACATGTGCATGAGATGCCCGGCCTTGTATAAATTTGCGAAGGCCAGGCACTTGGATGCATCAATTACCACAGATGAGAAGGCAAAATCCCAGTCTTTCTTTAAATACCAGACTGACAAACTTTGGCATATGAGTATTTCCAGAATTCTAACAGTGCTTGTACTCTATACTGACATGTACAGCTAATTATGCAATGCCCTTGGCTGGTTCCCTGTCTGCTCACGGTCTGCTTGTGGCAAATCATTGGTATTGCAGCTCGCACTCTGTGATGTGACGCGAAAGTGACAAAACAACCATCAGTTTTGTGCAAGTGCAAAATCAAGCAGATTTTTAGTTATGCCCCTGGATATCTGGGATAAAATTTATCAAAATTCCCTGGGAATAGGGATAGGGCCCAGTATATGACGGAAGAGTATATGTCGGGCCCCGTTTACGGGTCTGCCTTTCAATAGGCCTCCATCCATGATCATGTAGGCCTACGTAGGCCTGCATCATACATTACAAAAATGTTGAGTTCACACACTTGCTACTTGTCACTGTGCACTGTACTGAGTTCCAAAGCCTTTGCAATTTCATCGATCATGTAATGTAGGTCTATTGACCTGATTTCCATTGGTAGTTTTTTGAAGTGCAAAATTAACGCTTTGAAAATTGTACCCACAGTGAAGAAGGTAACTACTAACGTTATGCCTACTTTTTTGAAAATAAGTTTGTACACGTATGTATATTTCGGGGTGATACTAGAATTTATCAACTTTGAAGAACTTCTTATGTGGGATTTTCAGAGATTTGTTTAAGTGTGCCACAAACAGGGAACAGTCAGCTGAACTTTGTGCCAATTTCTGGATGCTGGTGTTTTTGAATTTTGGGTCAAATTTCATGACATCAAAATTGTTCACAAGGATGATTAGTAGCATGCATTTTAAGGTTATAATGTCATTATTTACTGTAACTGAATGAATTCAAAGTTTTTCAGCAAAGAGGTTTGGCAGTAATGCATGAGAAGAGTCAAGGAAACTCCTAAACTAGAAACAAGACAAGTTGAGGAAGGCTTAAACATTGGGATAAAGCTCCCTGGCCATGAACGGTATCAGCCACATACAGGTATTTTTCAGTTGCCTTTTTGATTAATTCACCCAGCAGTTTATCATGTTCAATTTGCCCAAATGGTGATTTCCTAACCATCATGCCTGTTGGTAAATTACTTGTCATCTTGATACCTTAATTTTGTTACAACTGTGATTTGCTCAAGATCTTTACTGGCAGTGAACATGCATGTACAACTCCAGACACCAGCAGTTTTGGTGATCCCTGAAAACGTTAATTACTGCACACCACACTAGATGCGTTTAACTAGCATCTATCATGTGCTTAAATGAATCTATTTTTAAAATAAGAGTAGCTCGCCTTAGCTGCACCCTATATGCCTGCATTGCATTGGCACACTTTGATGCTGGACCCCACACCTGCATACACACCTGGCAGCTGGCACTCAGGTAAGAGATGACTGGACGATGGAGACCTGCAAGTCCGGATATGACATCATGACATCATGCTCAGCACACATACATGTAATTGACACCTGCTAACCCTTCTGATTTGATTGCAACTAGGCAGGTGTGGTGGATTCACCCTCCACCCATGAAAGGGAAAAAAAGAGGGGAAGACATTTTTTGAAGGGGGGAGGGGGCTGTATGGGGTGGAAAGCGATGGAAGGTGTTATGTCATTGTTTATGTGGGAGGGGGGGAGATAACCTTCCCCTCCCTTATAGGGGCAAGACGATCAGGCATAAATTGAAAGCTGCTTCAGCTGAAAATCTTTCCTTATTTAAAGTAAAGTTGAATTTGCCACTTGGTGCAGCCATAAAAAAATATACGGTTCTGTGTTAATTTCTATTGTCTTCGAGAACTGAATTAAAAACTAAAGAGACTGCACAGTGCTGGATGTTATACACTTTGTACACATGATGACAAATATTTTCTGGCCGAGAACATAACCGACGGTAAAGCTGTCTTGGGGTATAATTTCCCCCTAAATTTACTGATGAAGGCCACAATTTGGATTCTCTGAACATTTTTTGGGCAGCTCCACGAAAATGAATATTTGTCTTGTAAAAAAGAAGAAGTTTTATTAGAAATGGGTGAATTAGTTGAATCATTTTATGATTATATTTATTTCACAGATCGAGCCCGTTATTGCTATAATATCTGCTCTTGGGACATGATGAAGGTCCAAGCAAGGCAGTCAGATTGTGGAATCAAAGAGGGCCAGCAGTATACAGGAAAGTCGCGGTAAGTTAACCATAAAAAGCCCAATGGGAATACCCCTTTATATGCACTGGGCAATCAACAGCAGCCAAACAAATTGGTCATGTTGAGACAATGGGAGCTGGTCTCATTGAACAGTGCCACTGTTGGATCTTGTGGTGGCTGGCAACCACAGACTCCCAGGCTGTTTGGCCTTGGAGAGAGCTGACCTGGAAGATCTTGTTACACTAGGAAAACAAATTACTTTGACAAATGATGCAGACTGATGTGCCTGGCAGGGTTTCTAGCCAAACAACCCTGAACAGTTATTATGGTTGTTTTAACTATGAAATGGCTTTGGAATCATTCATATTTAATAATTGACAAATGAGGCCTTTTTATTTCTCCATTCCAGTTAACAGAGATGGTAGCGAGAGTGGAAGAAACGTGTGCTGTCCATCCAGCAGAAGTCTGTCTTCTGCAGTGACTGTAAGTTGTCTTTTCAAGTATTGAGAAACTGTTGAGGCCATGTCACAGAGAGGTGCACAAAGTAACGTCAAGGTAATATTGAAGATTTTAAATAAAGACACTCAAGCCGATAGGAGTCATAAGATATTACCTGAACTGAATCACTTTCAGGTGTGACAACTTAACAATCACCATTGTGCCGTTAATTGTGTGTTCATTTGACCCTAAAAGAACCAGGGGGTTGATAGAATCTGCCCCCTCAAGAGTTTTTCTGATATCGCCACAGTACAGTAATCAAGCCTTCAGGAGTTTTTCAGTAACTCCGAGCCAATTTGGCTCATCAGGCTGGTGTTTATTGCGGTTTTCTTGGCAAGAAACGACTGAGAATATTTCTTTTCCCCCCCAGGATGGGATGCCAGTCCATCACCGGTTGCTCCCCAGCTAATGCTGGTACCCATTTACACTCCTGGGTGGAAAGAGGCAAGCAGGGGTGAAGTGGCTTGCCAAGGGCCACAACATACCACCAGCAGCTGGATTCGAACCTCCAACCCTATGATTGGAAACCACAGTCACTAACCACTTGGCCACAAGAACTGAACACTGCCTTAATGGCACAGTGGTAATGGAAAGAGGATAAAAGATCCAAAGACTGCCTTAATGGCACAGTGGTAATGGAAAGAGGAAAAAAGAACCGAACACTGCCTTAAGGCACAGTGGTAATGGAAAGAGGAAAAAAGAACCAGAGACTGCCTTAATGGCACAGTGGTAATGGAAAGAGGAAAAAAGAACTGATCACTGCCTTAATGGCACAGTGGTAATGGAAAGAGGAAAAAAGAACCGAACACTGCCTTAAGGCACAATGGTAACGGAAAGAGGAAAAAAGAACCGAACACTGCCTTAAGGCACAATGGTAATGGAAAGAGGAAAAAAGATCCAAAGACTGCCTTAATGGCACAGTGGTAATGGAAAGAGGAAAAAAGAACCGAACACTGCCTTAAGGCACAATGGTAATGGAAAGAGGAAAAAAGAACTGAGCACTGCCTTAATGGCACAGTGGTAATGGAAAGAGGAAAAAAGAACCGAACACTGCCTTAAGGCACAATGGTAACGGAAAGAGGAAAAAAGAACCGAACACTGCCTTAAGGCACAATGGTAATGGAAAGAGGAAAAAAGAACCAGAGACTGCCTTAATGGCACAGTGGTAATGGAAAGAGGAAAAAAGAACTGAACACTGCCTTAATGGCACAATGGTAATGGAAAGAGGAAAAAAGAACTGAACGCTGCCTGAATGGCAAAATGGTAATGGAAAGAGGAAAAAAGAACTGAACACTGCCTTAAT